TCGAAGTTGGTTAAAAAAAGAGGATCACAGTGTCGCGGTGGGGCAACCCATATACATATAAAAAATAGAAATCGCAACGGTCCGCAGTTAGCTAGTTAGACTTCGCCCTCGTTCTCGTTCGCACCGAATCATTCAATAAACTATTTTTTCCTTTCCCCGTAAAAAGACTCATTTATTTCCTGGCCTGGTCTTGGCCTCCTACACTAATATTATTATTTCTTTTTCATAGTTATTCATTATTATTTTGGAAATTATTTAGAAGTTGGCCCTCCTCACCGATTTTCGTGACCTTGAAATATGTTGTCAAGGTCATCATTCTGAACAACTTTTCCCTATACATGTTACCGCCGCTCAGCCTTAGTTTCCGAGATATTCGTAAAAAACTGCAGTTACACTTATGTCACCAGTACACTGTATTCCGGGAAAAATGGCGACTGAATAGAGAATTGAAAGAGTGATTGAGTGGTTTGAGGTTAGGGTTAGGTTAGGTTTAGGTTAGGTTTAGAGCGTACATGGCGTGATACGAGAGCTAATATTCCTCGTATAATGGCATTTCTCGACATGATGGGCGAAATGTTTCCGATTTCTGACAAAACACAAAATGAATAATAGGTATACAATATAAAAAAGGTGAAAGAAAGAGTAATTATAACGTGAAAAGATCAAAAACAAAACCCTAACCCTAACCCTAACCTCAAACCACTTCACTGGCGCTGACTAGGCGAAGAGAGCGTACTATGGCCGTCTGGCGGCAAAACGCCGTGCACGCGACACCGGCAGATGTTTTTTCGATTTACTCGAATTGCATGCTGCTCCAACACTTATCTCATATAGTTTCTTCTTCGGAAATGTCTACCAAATTCGGTACTGTATAGAGAATTTGCGCTAGATAAAGAACTTTTCTTAAAAATACAAAAGTAATACGTAGGAAATGCGTGCGTCGGCTGTTTTTTTAACTTTCACCGACATTTACATCTATTCAGAATCACGTAATATAATAATTATGCATATCAATATATTCGGGAAACGAATTTGTGAACGCCCAGGTCAAGGGCGTGTATAGAATCACATCGGTGCAGGGCCCGTCCGGCATGTGCCGCCGCCTCGCGGTCTCTTTCGGGTGCTACGGCTCTCTTGCGAACGACACGTGCCGCGTAGCCATATTGCGTTTTTGTAAACGGTCACGTCGACATCGCGCTACTTTATTTTGTGAATTCTTGTGTTTCTCGAGAACTTATTGCGTCGGAAAGTATACCAGGGTATTACCTCGCGCCTCCGAGATCGGTGTTTGACCTCATTTAATCGGCTTCCTCGCGAATTACAGTAAAACTTGAATTTTTCGGATTTCTCGACGATGCCACGCGGTCGTACGCGTCTAACGGAGGCCTCGCTTTCGCGATCCGAAGGTTCTGGAACGTACTACCGAACTCCTATTGTGCGGAAGTGCACCTCGGTGAATTGCGTGACTCCTGTATTGTGGAAAGCCTCGAGTGATTGGTCGAACAGACTTTTCTGTAATATTTTTGACCGAGCGAACCGCCTCGTAAGGTGGACGGCCAACCTCGTGAGAATTGTGTTAAATCTCCTGTTTAATTAATTGTGTTAAAACCTCGCTTTCAATAAACTGACAAAGCGCAGACTTCGGATCACCTATCGTATACAGCATTGCTTCGAAATAAGTAAGTGGTCTCTGCTTCGAAATAAGCAACTCGTCATCCCCTTTTCTTTGTTTGAAGTCGCGCGTAAAGTGAGAGATCCGAAAAATGAATGAGAAGTCCGTGAAAGCGAGAAGCCGATGTTTCGTGTAATAAATTGTCACGCTCGACTGAGCACTGACATCAGTTAGTGAAAGAAGGATGGAATATATACAGGGTATCCCATGACTGCTTCGACAGCCGAAGAGGGATGATTGCTAGGATGATTCTAAACAACATTTTCCTTTGCCAAAATGTTGGTTAAGGCTTCGTTTTCGAGTTATTAACAAAAAACACTGACCAATCCGAGCGCATATAGCGCGCAGTCCCAGGGAATGGTAGAACGATGGTTGGGACCGACACAGTGACCCAGTGGCAATTCTCTGCTTTCAGCGTAGCAGGTTAATTTAGGAACGAATGGGTATGTTTTATTTAAATTGTTTTTAAATTTGTCATCATTAATGTAGCCTCCAATTCAAACGTTTATTAATTATTCCATTTCAATCATTTTTATTTGTTGTTTAGAATGCTTAGAATTTCCTTTTTTACACTATGACAGGCGACAAGAGATTAAGTTCCCTATTCATTTTAAACAACGACTAAAAGTATTTTACCAGTTCACTTTGTTTATTGTGCTATGCCAACGGGTTGCCGAGCCGTTCGTTCGTGACCCACGTCAGGCCAGTTTTCGTAGTCGACACTGCCGTCCCCGAGCTCGCGCGCTGTACGCGATCAGATTGGTTAGTGTTTTATGTTAATAATTCGAAAACGAAGTCTTAACTAACATTTTGGCAAAGGAAAAAGTTGTTTAGAAACACTCTAGCAATCATCCCTTTTCGGCTGTCGAGGCAGTCATGGGACACCCTGTATACATAATGCTTTCTCATTCTAGTATATTTGCCTCGAAATAAATGAAATAGTGCGAGAATGAGAGGGCATGCTATATTCTATCCTTGTTCAAAAAACATCGCTGTTCAGCCGATCACTTTATGATTTGCCGCTACCTTAGATCTCTCACTCGTATCCCGTGTTCTCTATCGTCCTGTTTTGAGAACAAAGTCAAGCCGAATAGCATACCTGCTTCGTAATAAGCAACTGTTTGGTCCCGAGCGAGTTGCTTATTTCGAGGCAATCCTGTATTGTGATCTTTTATTGTTCGGGTTCGAACCCGGCTTGAACCCCTCACTCTCCTCAAAACACTCTCTATCTTTGAGGACCGTTGCGAATGTTCTGGCGTTTTTAGTTTCCGTGTAATAGTTCACCCCCCCCCAACACATGTTTTTACAAAATCTCATGTTTTTCGAAAACTAAGGGCGATGGAGCAATCAATTCGGTTTTCGGATTCGTGTTTAGGACGAGAAGCTCTACAATGATCTTCCAGTGGCTATTGAAAAACAAAATTCGTGTAGGACAGTATTATCGATATTTTATCTACTCCGTTGACGAGGGTCTCTACCCCTTCCCTTGCACCCCCGTTCCGCGAAATATAACCTAACCTAACCTCACCTACTACGGTTTGATATTCGTATATCAAATCTTCTGTTCGTATATGTAAGAAGATAGCTATATTTGTGACTGTGTTTTAGGTCCACACTCATGGGTAAAATTCTGTGTATTAAAATTAAAAAGTTGTTTGCGAATATTTCGACAGCTTGTTATTTCCATCAAAAACAGAAATTATATTCGTATTCAGAACATCGAAACGGGTAAAACGACGAGGTTAATATAAACGTGAACCACAGTTTACAAAATAATGCGCTTTATACGTATAGGACACCATGTAGATACTCAGGTCGAGACTCCCTACTGTGTCATCGATTGCTTGACACTTGACGACCACGGTTTCTTCAGCGGGGATGGTTGTGTTAGTCACGTTTGTGTAGGCAAAATTCTATGCATTCTGAAAGTTTTTAATTAATATCTCCGAAACTACTGGGTTGATGTGGATACCGTTTTACATTTGGGGTTTTCTCCCGACTCCCTCCCACCCCTTCAAAGCCCACGTCGATCGGCCACCGGAGCAATTCGGAACTGTTAGTAAATTAGGTCGGGTTAGGTTAAGTTAGAATAATATTCCGGCTGCCATGAGGCAGCCAACCACGCAGGCCAATATTCAAAATCATTGAAATCAGTCAAGTTCGATTTTTTAGTTCACCCATTAGGTTGGATGCACACTATCGGTTCGGTCACGGTCCGGTCTCGGTCCAGTAAAATTTAATACAATACAAATCTTGTATCGTCGAAATCTCTCCAACATGGAAAAATCCCGTTGTTCAAATATTCGTTGTAAGATGAATGAGTTAAATAAATGAGACAAATAAATTAAATAGATTTGAGCCGAAAATTGAAGTATGTTTATTGGCTCGTTATACACGATTTGGGGAAAAACCCTTGTGGCATAAAAAACCCCACGGAAATAAGATGGATATTTTGTACGAATCACGTTGAAAATGCGAACGGCAATTTATGTGTAATATACATGTGTTGTGTGTGTGACTGTTCTCGGCGTTGAGCCGAGATAGATAAGAGTGGTTGCAAAATGCAACGGACGCTACGGGTCATCGTCATGACCGCGTGTTACGTCACGAATCGTCGTCACGACCGTGATTATTGTTCATATTTCGGTTTATTTAACCGAAACGATGTGATTCCGATACGTGATTCGAGTATTACGGACGCACAACTGCGAATTATATCGATTCCATACGACGGTCATTATGATACCGTCGCGAGTTATAAAGAACTTGGTATGTGTTTCACAGGTTTCCGATGGGTGATCCGCTCCGTAGTAGATTCGAAACGAGATTACTCAAAAAATATACATAGCAAAATATACGCCCGAGAAACCCTGCACGAGAGGGGCGTTATCTCAAGAAAACTCTAACTCTCTTTGTCCGTCGTGAGAGGCAAGAAAAACCGTTAGGTTATTTACAACTTGCAGATGTTTATTTTCGAACTGACCCGAGTGAAGTGAATAGACAAAAGACTCTGCCTTGACTCGAATTTTGAGGCAGAGAGCTATTCATGGTGGTCTACGTGCCGAGCCACTTAAGTCATAAAATCCCTTTGGTCGCGACAAAAGTAGGTAAACGTTCGCGGCTGAACAATCTTAGGAGCGTATTCACACTATGTGTCCGGTCCGATCACGCTCCAGTCCCGGTCCGGTCTTGATCACTCACGAAGAATATTTTCCTGGAGCGTGGCTGCGCTCCCTCGTTTGAAACGCTTCTGCTTGTGTATTTCCACCTTGTCTTTGTAGATTGTTTACATGATTTGTCTCAATGTATTCCAAATTCTTTTCGCAATTTAAGATCGATTATTTCTAATAATATTATGCAGAATGCATGTCGTTAAAATAATTGTAGTGGCTTTTTCAGGATCAGCTATGATTTTTCTACAATAAACTCTGAAGGTTTGTGATAAAATCCCAAATACACACTCGACTGATCTTCTTCCTCTATATAATCGATAATTAAATATTCTTTTTTCAATATCTTCTATACTTTTTGATCCTAGATTAGGCCGCACTAAATATTTCTTTAATGGAAATGCTTCATCACCTAATATCACATAAGGTGCTATTGTATCTGTTCCTGACAGCGGAGAATCCTCGGGAACATTCAATTTGCAATTTTGTAAACTTTTTCCATAGGAACCTATATCTACAGCAGTAAATTTATAATTTACATCTAGTAATGCCAAAAGTACAATCGAAAAAGACTTTTTATAATTGACTATCAGATCGAAAGTGGCTCGAAAGTGGCAGAGCGGTATGGGTAGGGTAAGATTTAACCGGACCGAGACCGGACCATAACCGAACCGATAGTGTGAGTCTGGTCGTACGGTAAGATTTTCACTATCGGTTCGGTCCCGGTCTGGTCTCGGTCCGGTAAAATTTTACCGTACGACTAGATCCACACTATTTGGTTCGGTCCCGGTCCGGTCTCGGTTCGGTAAAATCTTACCGTACCCATACTGCTATGCCCAGTGACGGTTTGAGTAATATTGGCAATATTGGACCCCGGGCTGCGACGCCCCCTACAGTTCTAGCGCCCTAGACGATTGCCCGAGCACTGCTCAGTCTGGAATCGTTCGTGCTCCAAGTCGGGTCGAATCCAAAAAAAAAAAAAAGAATGATGCCATTTAATTTTTCAAATAAAGAATTAGTTATTATAACTATCCTGTTAGATAAAGATGAAAAAAAACAGAAGAAATCGAAAGAAACTAAATAGAAGAATATGGGTGCATCCAAGTTTAAAAACGAGACAAAGTGAAGGCGAATATTATACGCTGTATCGTCATCTAATGAAAGATGAAGAAAAATTTATTAAGTATTTTAGAATGGATTCTCGTACATTTGAAATGGTACTTGCGAAAATTTCCAAGAAACTTTCCAAGAAAAATACCACGTTTCGAAAAGCTATTTCTCCGAGACAAAAATTAATGGTATGTCTAAGGTAAGTAATTGTTTTTATTATATTATATACACTTATATTTTTATTATATTATAAACACAATCTATATACACTTACAAACTATATACATTTATAAACTATATACACTATGTACACTTATAAGACTTCAATTTTTATTAAAATTATTATGAGCTGGGGAAGTTGTGGACGGATAGGGTGGATCATATTGTGGGTCGATCATACTATTGCTATTGTGGGTTAGTGTTGACTGTAGTGGTGGAATAAAGTGTGGTGGGGATGGTACTTGATACGAGGTATGCTGTTCGTGTGAACAATAAGTATGTTGGTGAGTGGCTGCCGAGGGTGAAAAGGATGGAGAAGGGGAACTTAATACATATCTTTCTTCTATTTCACTTACTAGACTTCCTGTTTTTATAATGTGTTGATCGTTTGCGAAGAAATTTTTAATCGTGGTAGCCATGAATTTGAAAAATATATCAATGGGATGCACATTATTTCGTTCATCTTCTTTTTCTTCTGAAAGGTATTTCATTAATGTTGCGGAAACGTTTTCTTCCTATGTATTACTCCTGACTTTATTTGCTTTTTGGGGAATTAATGGAGTCAATTCGGGTTCTTTAACCTCCCTTCCTACAGCATCTTCAATATTTTCGTCTTCGGTGATGGACGATGAACGTGGTCGTTCAACATTTATGAAGGTATTTAAAAATGCCATCTGATCGTAGAATCACCACTTATTAAGCCTTGCTGCAGCTTGTCCGCTATTTGTTTTTAATTTTGCCAGATATTTACGATACTGTCCTTGTAGCGACTCCCAACGAGTCTTTGCACCTGTAATTAAGGAAATAAAACATTTATTAAATAAAATAAAATCATTTTGTATTTTCAGATTTTTAGTTACTGGAGATTCCTATCAAACGATTGCTTTTAGCTATCGTGTTGGTCATTTAACCGTACAAAGTATTTGCCTTGAAGTTTGTAGAGCAATTAATGAAATATTATTAGCTGAATATATTCCAACTCCACGTAAAGAGAAGTGGTTAGAAATAGCAAATGAAATGTGGACTACGTGGAATTTTCCAAACTGTCTAGGAGCCCTAGATGGCAAACATGTGACTATTCAGGCGCCTGCAAATAGTGGATCACTATATTTTAATTACAAAAAACCGTTTTCAATTATACTTTTGGCATCGGTAGATGCCAATTATAAATTTATTGCTGTGGATGTAGGCTCGTATGGGAAAAATAGTGATGGTAGCATTTTTGCGAATTCTGTTTTTAAAAAAAATTTAGGAAGTGGCAAATTGAATGTTCCTAAGGATTCCCCGCTGCCAGGAACAAACACAGTAGCACTTTACGTAATATTAGGCGATGAGGCGTGTCCATTAAAAAAATATTTAATGCGGTCATACTCAGGGTCAAAAAGTATAGAAGACAATAAAGAAAGAGTATGTAAGTATCGACTATGCAGAGGAAGACGATTAGTCGAATGTGCATTTGGAATGTTGTCACAAACATTTAGAATTTATTGTCGAAGACTGATAGCTGAGTCTCAAAATGCCGTCACAATTATTTTAACAACATGCATCCTCCATAACATCATTAGAAATAGTCGAGATATAAATTTAGAATATATTGAAACAAATCATGTAAATAACCTACAAAGACAAGGTGGAAATGCACAGAGTGAAGCGTTTGAAACGAGGGAAATTTTTAAAAACTTTTTTAATTCATCTGTAGGCTCAGTGCTGTGGCAACAGGACAAAATAATGTAATGAAATGTATTTAATAAATTATTAATAAGTCTTTTCAAAATGTTTATAATTATATATTTGTATTGAATTTTTCACTTTACTTACCAGATTGACCTATCGCTTTTCCAATTTCGTTCCACACTTGTTTCTTGTAATTAGTGTCACTATAACTAGGTGACTGCAAATCATACAGACCTGGTCTAGTTTTCACAAGTTCAATTAGCATTTCATCTGAAAATTACACATTAAAAATGCATTTTTCATTTTTAATTTTAGTATAAAATTTATATTTTATTCCATAACCATGTACATATGTAATTACCTTCTTCAAAACTCCATGATTTTTCGGAATCCATACCGCACAAAAATTTTAACTTCAGGGTGATAGACCGTTCGCGATAATGACTGCCAAGAGAATGACCACTCCTGTCCTTGGTGCGCTTTTCCCGAAACCATTCTGGAAAAACCCAGGTAAGGTTTCGCGCGCAAAAGGGACAAGGGAAACTTTCCCCACGTGCACGGAGAAGGGAGTCTATTGCTTTCGGTACCTGCATTTGAAAACGTACGATTTCCAGGGCCCGAAAACATACGCTTTGCAACGCGAAAATTACAGTCAAAGTACAGTCAAAAGTACAGTACAGACCCTCGTTTCAAACGAGGGAGCGCAGCCCCGTCCTAGGAAAATATTTCTTTGTGAGAAATCGAGACCGAACCGGGACTGGAGCGTGATCGAACCGGAGCTGGGGCGGGCGCATAGTGTGAATGCTCTCATAAGATTTACATTGGAGTGTATTTTACCGGACCGAGTCCGGACCGGGACCGAACCGATAGTGTATATCCAGCCTAAGGTTTTGCGCGCAAAACCTTATCTGGGCTTTTCCAGAATGGTTTCGGGAAAAGCGCACCAAGGACAGGAGTGGTCATTCTCTTGGTAGTCATTATCGCGAACGGTCTATCACCCTGAAGTTAAAATTTTTGTGCGGTATGGATTCCGAAAGATCACGGAGTTTTGAAAAAGATAATTACATACGTACATAGTTACTATTGTGAGATTTGTTTTATTTTAACACATTGTTGACCGGTAATTAATTTCAAGAAAAGTGATAATAAAATGAACATGATTGAATGCAACGAAAAAAGATTTGATAAGATCCTATATTACTCGTGACCGGTCAACAATGTGTTAATATTATTTTATTCAGATATTAAAAAATACGTTTGAATTATGGAATAATATATAAATTTTATTGTAAGATTCATTTACACATAGACTAAAATTAAAAATTAAAAATACATTTTTAATGTGTAATTTTCAGATGAACTGGTGAAAACTAGACCAGGTTTGTATGATTTGCAGTCACCTAGTTATAATGACACTAATTACAAAAAACAAGTGTGGAACGAAATTGGAAAAGCGATAGGTCAATCTGGTAAGTAAAGTGAAAAATTCAATACAAATATATAATTATAAACATTTTGAAAAGACTTATTAGTAATTTATTAAATACATTTCATTACATTATTTTGTCCTGTTGCCACAGCACTGAGCCCACAAGTGAATTAAAAAAGTTTTTTAAAATTTCCCTCGTTCCAAACGCTTCACTCTGTGCATTTCCACATTGTCTCTGTAGGTTATTTACATGATTTGTTTCAATATATTCTAAATTTATATCTCGACTATTTCTAATGATGTTATGGAGGATGCATGTTGTTAAAATAATTGTGGCGCCATTTTGAGGATCAGCCTTCGACAATAAATTCTAAATGTTTGTGACAACATTCCAAATGCACATTCGACTAATCGTCTTCCTCTGCATAGTCGATAGTTAAATATTCTTTCTTCATTGTACTCTATACTTTTTGACCCTGGGTATGGCCGCATTAAATATTTCTTCAATGGAAACGCATCATTGCCTAATATTACGTAAGGTGCTACTGTGTTTGTTCCTGGCAGTGGGGAATCCTCAGGAACAATCGATTTGCCACTTTCTAAATTTTTTTTTAAAATAGAATTTTTTGTAATTAAAATATAGTGATCCACTATTTGCAGGCGCCTGAATTGTCACATGTTTGCCATCTAGGGCTCCTAGACAGTTTGGAAAATTCCACGTAGTCCACATTTCATTTGCTATTTCTAACCACTTCTCTTTACATGGAGTTGGAATATATTCAGCTAATAATATTTCATTAATTGCTTTACAAACTTCAAGGCAAATACTTTGTACGGTTAAATGACTAACACGATAGCTAAAAGCAATCGTTTGATAGGAATCTCCAGTAGCTAAAAATCTGAAAATACAAAACGGTCAATAAAATTAATATTCAGTTTGATTTTATTTTATTTAATAAATGTTTTATTTCCTTAATTACAGGTGCAAAGAATCGTTGGGATATTGAGATGTAATTATTTTTCTTATGTTTTCGTTTGAATGAGTGGGCATGTCGTGCCCCTGCCTGCGCGTGGTTGATGCGCGACAATAAGATATATGACCGTTGAGTTTTTTTTGTTGAGAGGATCTTGGTGCTAATGGCGTATATAATTTTTGGTTAATGGTTCCTATTAGAATTAATTTGTTCTTTTTTATTTTCTTTGTGTATTATTAAGAAGTAAATATAGTCATGAAAAGAAAGGAGCGTTATGATTAATTCATACACACCAAAATATCGTCGGTTATACCTTTAATTATTATCAGGTTATGGGCCCAGGCACGTGCCCACGTGTGTATGAAAATTTGTATCAGACTTTGAATATAAAATATCACGTAGTTTTACGTGGACACGTATCGTAAGTGCAATTATTGGAAATTAAAAATCTATCAGATATGGATACGGTCAAGTCGCAACTGGAAATGCTAACTAAAGATTCGCAAGGAAATGCAAATTATGAATCTTGGAGGTTTAAATTAAACCTGACCTTAAAATCAAAGAAACTGTTCGGTATAGCTACTGGTGTTGATGTCAAGCCAGAGGGATCTGATGAGAATAGTGCAGTTCTGACATGGATAACGAAGGATCTTGAGGCACAGACTCTTATAGGTTTGAATTGTAGCAGCTCTATTGCAAAGAAAATATCCAAATGTACGTCTGCGAATGGAATGCTTTGTAAGCTGGATACCTTTTATGGTAGGAAATCAGATGTATCTATTGAAGGTTTACAAAGACAATTTTTTGGATACAAATACAATGATTCAAAGACAGTTATAGAAAACTGCTTGCAAATACAGGAGTTTGTTGATAGTTTGTCTGCAGAGGGTGAAATCGTCAAGGAGTCTTGGATTATGCAAAGAATCTTGGGAATACTGCCCTCTAAACTTCATCATTTCAATACTGCCTGGGACAATGTAAGTGGAACGGACAGGACTCTGGAAAATTTGTTTGATCGATTGAGATTGGAAGAAGATCGACTGAATGCAAGCCAGAGTGAATGCAGTAAGCTGACTTCTCAAAATGCCTTCATTTCAAAACAAGGGAATAAGTCAGTAAAATCCTCCAATCAGAAAAGTAATCTTGTTGAATGTTTTAAATGTGGGAAAAAGGGACACATGAAATCCCAGTGCCATGGAAAGCCTTGTCAAAAGTATCTGGAGTATTGTAAGAAAAATTATGGCTGCAACATATGTAAAAATAAGGGTCACTTTGCAAATGATTGTCCTAATAAAGGCTCCAGTCATAGTAAATTTGATCAGAATGATGCCAAAAATACAGGAAACAGACGTGCTCTTGTTACAGTAAGTTTATCAGCTGTAAATTTTGACTGTAAAGCATTGGAAAAGGACTTTGAAAGTTGCTGGTATCAAGACTGTGCAGCTACCCAGCATATGAGTTCTCATAGACAATGGTTCACAAACTATGTCGAATTGGAACAGCCATGTATGGTTGTCATTGGTGATGCAACCGAACTGGAAGGCATTGGAGTAGGCGATATTGAGCTTGAAGCCTTTGATGGCCAAAAATGGAATAAGATAGTTTTAAAGAATGTTCTACATACTCCCAAAATGCCGTTTAATCTCTTTTCTGTAAGCAATGTATTGGATAAGGGGTATAAGCAGTCAGCAGATTCAGGTATATCAATTTTCAAGGACTGTAGTGGAGACGTTGGAGCAATAGCAGTAAGAGAAGGAAATTTATATAAAATGCAATTTCGACAAGAATCGTCTGAGACATGTTTGGTAAATGTTTCTCTCAGGAAGTGGCATGAGAAACTAGCACATCAAAATATTGTGTATGTGAGAGACATATTGAAGAAAAATGGAATTAACTTTCTGGACGATTGGAATGATTATGTCTGTCCAGGCTGTATCTATGGAAAACAACATAGAGTGTCACATCCATTGAATCCAAAGATATCTTCCAAAACATTGGATTTAGTTCACGTAGATTTATGTGAAGTGAACATTTACTCTTTAGGAGGAGCAAAATATTTCTTGCTTTTCAAGGATGATTACTCGCACTTTAAGACTGTATATTTTTTGAAAAATAAAAATGAAACTGCTGCAAAACTGGAAACCTTCTTAAAATTGGTTGAAAACCAATTTGACAGGAAAGTAAAAACGCTAAGGTCAGATAATGGCACAGAGATAAAGAATGGTGACACAAAACAGATTTTGGACAAGATTGGAGTTTTTCATAGTAAATCAAGTGCCTACACACCTCAGCAAAATGGTCGTATTGAGAGAGAAATGAGAACTGTGGTTGAGGCGGCAAGGTCAGTGATACACGCTCGAAATTTAAATGAAAGTCTATGGGGCGAAGCTATCAACTACGTTGTTTTCACTTTGAATCAGACTGGTACAAGCTCAACAAAAGGTAAAAGCCCAGCTGACCTGTGGTTTGGACGGAGGGTAGATGTCAGAAAATTAAAAGCTTTTGGATGCGACTGTTATGTGCTAATTGAAGAACACAAGCGGGGTAAAACCGAGAAAAAGTCAACAAAAGGTATTTTTGTTGGCTACGATACAGATTCTCCAGGTTTTAGAGTCCTTATTGATAGTACACGTGATGTAGTTAGCTCAAGTAATGTAATATTTGACGAGAATGTTGGAGTGGAAAGCTTTACGCAATTGGAAACTCCATCGACTGAGAATGAAAGTTTACCTCTGGAACTTGAAGATTCAGAAAATGAAATTCCTGTACAAAACGATTCTGAAAGTGAAAGCTCTGATGATGAAAGTCAAAATGAAAATCCTGATATTGAAATCCCGCGTACACGAGATTTAAGAGACCGTCGGAAATTAAAACCGCCAGTAAGATTAAAAGACTATGTTACGAGTTCAGCCTTGATGATGCAGGAAATGGAGTCAGCAATGATTGGTGAAGTCAACAATATTTCTGTAACAGAGGCTCTCAAGGATAAAAATTGGAAGAGGGCTATGTTCGAGGAGTTTAAATCACTGTCAGATATGCGAACGTGGACATTGACTGAGAAGCCAAAGAATGTCAAACCTTTAACCTGTCGGTGGGTCTTATGTCAGAAGGATAATGGAAAGTATAAAGCGAGACTTGTCGTCAGGGGGTTTGAGCAGGAGGAAGGAAAGGACTATTTCGAGGTTTTCAGTCCTGTTGCTCGACATATGTCAATTCGTCTGATTCTCAGCATAGCAGCGACAGAGAAAATGAAAATTATGACTTTTGACGTAAAAACCGCCTTTTTGCATGGTGAGTTAGAAGAAAGCATTTATATGTATCAACCGGAAGATTTTGATGATAAGTCTGGTCGAGTGTGCAAATTACTGAAGAGTCTTTATGGCCTGAAGCAAGCACCTAAAAATTGGAACAAGAAATTTTCAGATTTTCTACAGTATTTGGGTCTTGTATCGTCGGATGATGATCCTTGTGTTTATTATAATAAGGGCAAAAGTATTATAATGACTTTGCATGTAGATGACGGCCTAATGGTTGGAAAAGATGAAAATAGTTTGATCGAAATTCTGGAAAAGCTGAATGAAAAATTTAAAATAACATATGATGTTGCAAGAGAAAATGTTTTGTCTTATTTTGGAATGCAAATCGAACTCAGACAGACTGGAATTTTTGTAAATCAGTCGAAGTATGCAGAAAGAATTCTGGAACGTTTTCAGTTTGACAGCACAAATCCAGTGTATACACCTATTGAACGTGGAATGGTGACTGAACCAGAAAATTTTATAAATGAGTCACCGTTGGAAGAATCAGAGCCATATCGAGAAGCTGTTGGCAGCTTACTTTATTTGGCCACCATATCACGTCCTGATATTAGTTTTTCTGTGAATTACCTGAGTAGATTCAATGCCAAACCTATGACTAGTCATTGGAAAATGATTAAACGTGTTTTCCAGTATATAAAAGGTACTGTTATGTTTGGAATCTTCTTTGATGGCGGTAACAAATTGACTGCGTATAGCGACTCAGATTATGGTGGAGATTTGATGACTAGACATTCAACCAGTGGAGTTTTATTAATGCGTGGAGGTCCTGTAGTCTGGTTAACTCAAAAGCAACATACTGTTGCAAACTCCACTGCTGAAGCAGAGTATCGTGCTGCGATATCTGCCATTGATGACATTTGTTGGATACGAAGACTTGCAAGTGAATTGAATCAGTTGGATATTGGAAAGCCAACGACACTGTATATCGACAATCAATCTGCGATTCATATGCTGCAAAACACTCATGAAGGGAAGATCACAAAAGGATGGAAGCATATAGAAATATCGAGAAAATTCATTCAGCAGCATATTGGATCAACAATAAAACTCCAACACGTCAAGAGTGCTGATCAACTTGCAGATATTATGACCAAACCTATGTTACGAAAAAGTTTTGAGAGACTTAGATGTAAAATAATTAAGGAGGAGTATTGAGATGTAATTATTTTTCTTATGTTTTCGTTTGAATGAGTGGGCATGTCGTGCCCCTGCCTGCGCGTGGTTGATGCGCGACAATAAGATATATGACCGTTGAGTTTTTTTTGTTGAGAGGATCTTGGTGCTAATGGCGTATATAATTTTTGGTTAATGGTTCCTATTAGAATTAATTTGTTCTTTTTTATTTTCTTTGTGTATTATTAAGAAGTAAATATAGTCATGAAAAGAAAGGAGCGTTATGATTAATTCATACACACCAAAATATCGTCGGTTATACCTTTAATTATTATCAGTCGCCACAGGGCCAGTATCGGAAATATCTGGCCAAATTAAAAACAAAAAGCGGACAAGCCGCAGCGAAGATTACAAAATGGCGATTCTCTGATCAGATGGAAATCTTAAATACATTTGTCAATGTTGAACGACCGCGTTTAACATCAATAACAGAAAATGAAAGTATTGAAAAAAGTGTAGAAAAGGAGGTTGGAGAACCAGAATCGACTCCATTAATACAGAAACAAAAAATAAAGCCAAGACAAAGGAAGAAAACGCTTCCACAACACTAATGAGATATATTTTAGACCAAAAAGAAAACGGAC